TTTACAAACCCAAACCCAACAACGCGAGTAAGTCAACCCCTGCAAGAATCGAAAGGTGGAGATTGCGACTTCAAGAGTACGATTTTAAAGTCGTGTACAGACCGGGTCCCAAAAACCTAGCTGATCCTTTATCGAGACTTCCAAAACAATCTCCCACTAACACCCGAAGCAACATGGAAGCCTGCGAAGACCGATACGTCCATTACCTTTCCCAGTACCTTGCACCACGAGCCATGTCAATAGAGGAAATCCAACAGGCCTCTATCAACGATCCAGAACTGGCACAGATACGAACCTGTTTACAAACAAACCAGTTATACAAGATTCCACCACCCTACCAATCAGTCGTGGATGAACTCTGTGTCACTAACCAAAACATCCTTCTTCGTGGGAACAAAATCGTCCTTCCAGCCGACCTCCGACAAAAAGCCATATCCTTAGCTCACGAAGACCACGCAGGGATCACAAAGTGCAAACAACGCATCCGAGCAAAACTGTGGTGGCCGCAGATGGACAAGCACGTCGAAGCTCACGTCAAATGTTGTCATCCCTGTCAATTGGTAGCACAACCACCACGCCCTGAACCAATGCGTCCAACAGAGCTACCCAAAGAACCCTGGACCGAGTTAGCAATCGACATCTGTGGACCATTCCCGACTGGTGAGTACATTGTTGTTCTCACAGACTACTACTCCAGATGGCCCGAAGCCAAGAACCTCAAAACCGTTACCTCCGCTACAATTCTGAAGTGGCTCAATTCCATCTTCGCCCAACATGGCTATCCCACAGTCCTGAAGTCGGACAACGCCTCCTACTTTACCTCTACACAATTCAAAACGACCCTACAGTCCTGGGGAGTCCAGCACAAAACCGTGACCGAATACTGGCCACAGGCAAATGGTCAAGTTGAACGATTCAACGAAGTCATCAAGAAACATGTCCTCACAGCACAAGCAGAGCAAAAGGACTGGAGAGAATCACTACCAAACCTACTTCTCCACTATCGAACCACACCCCACCGAATCACTGGACAGACCCCAGCAAAACTACTCATGAAGAGGGAACTTCGAACCAAGATCCCAGCAATTTCCACGGTGGACCAACCAACAGATTGGCACGAGGAAGTGCGAAGAAAAGACGATAACGAGAAGTCCAAAGCGAAAGCATACACCGACAAGAAACGTCATGCAGCGGAACGAAAATTGATCGTAGGAGATAAAGTTCTGGTCAAACAGAAGAGAAAAACCAAGTATTCGACAAAGTTTTGCAAAGATCCGATGACAATCACGAAGATCAACGGAACACAGATCGTGTTAACAGATCTCCATGGTAAACAGCACCGACGAAACTCTTCTCATGTCAAGAAATATTGGACCACATCAGAACCGAACAACGTAGAAGACGAGGATTTCGTTGCAGAATCCCAACCACCACAAAGCACCACTGAAGAAACCCCACCAGACAGCTACCCAAACATTCCCATCATCCAACCAGACCCAACCCCGCTCCGCAGATCCACACGAGAGAAAACCGTCCCAGATCGCCTTAGATATTGAATAATGGACACCTAAGCTAAGAGAATCTGACAGTATTAAGCACATAGATAATTTAGTTAATTTAGCAAGAACAATGGTACGAAATTCAAATTACGAACAATCAGCAATAGGAATCAAATATATATAGTTCAACCTAGCAAGTTACTAAACAGGGGAGGAATGTTGTATCCTGTACTTAATTCATTCCAGGCTTAACTCATCACACACACACCCATATCATATATCCTAATTGCCTGTCAATGCTTGTATATATATTTACTTAATTCTATCAATAAATTAGTCTTTGATTACAACTAGTGCGAGTAGCATATATGCTAGAGGTCTCTATAACCCAAACAAGCAAGATACAAAAGTGACCAACGGATATATTTCATTTTTGCAAGATTTTGTGAATTTCAAAAGCTTTTTAAGAAGGAAGGGCAGAAGGATCGGTTGCAAGAAGGGATCAAGGCGCCGATGTAAACGAAGGTAAGTTTGTTTTAAATATTAATGTATTGTTTGATTTATAATTGCTTTAAAAGCCGATCATGCAAACGTTGCATTTCAGCGTATACTTTATTGATTACTTTTTTTTATAATATTATTTTTTTAAATAAGCAACGTTATTTGCATGCGAAAATTTGAAATCATTTTATTTCAAACTCAAAGTTTATCAATATATAAAGAACACTTTAAAACGTTTTGCGAAGCGTTTGTGGTTGAATTCTACCTTACTGTCGATGCAATGGAAGTGTTGATAAAATATTGCATGAATTTATTTCTTCAAGTTGATCAATCCACATGAATTCAAATTTATTTTTACTTCCTGTGCGTTGCCTATTGGTCGATCGGTTCTGAACCGAAATCTAATTGGCTCATCTAAATGTAACAGGAAGTTGATCAATTTTTTATCAAATGAATTAATTCAACTTGAGGATATGAATGCAACACTTTCATTGCATCGACAGTAAATTGAAGCTTATGAAATTACGACAACGATCAGGAAGTACAACCGCAAGAATTTTCCGCCAAGTTTGGATATCCGAAGCTACGGGCCCAGATCCCAATTCCCACGAAATGCAGTAAATTCAGAGCACAGATATCTTATATACACTATATAGCGCATGTCTTTTAGTAAAATTAAAGCCAAGAATATTCCAGTGCTTACCCCCACTTGAATAGATGGCGGCCATGTTGGTCTTTGTCACTTGTTAATAAACGCTTAAAAACAACAATAACTTTCATCATTTGAATAGTTATTTGAATAACGTATTTGGAATAGGATTAACTCAATGTTTAAGTTCCCTGTTTAAGAAATAGAAAACATGCGAATCTTCTTAGACTTCTTATTTCATGGGAACGAGCTGAGCCTGCAATCACGGCTTCAATTTGTGAATGGCAGAATAATTAGATGCACTATCTAGTGTATATAAGATATCTATGATCCAGAGCCTTAAAATTCTGCCTCAGCGACCGCCTGACCTCAACGGGTGAACGGCTCAACTCTCCTGTGCTGGCTGCAAATGCTGAGTTAGATGTATGCACTATATCAATTTATCGCGTCTAGCGATTTCTCATCGTTTCCTCGGCATGAGGTTGTGAGTACTTGTTAGTCCCATCTATGAGATGACTTTCCATGCGGGGAGGCTATCATAACGCCCTATCATATTTTGCTTGTTAATCTTAGCGGTCTAGCTTCGTTGCTTTTTAATGTTTATGGTGACTCTTGCGTGTGGATTTATGCGCATACAACTATTTCAATCAAGGTGTCCACGACAAAGCGGAAAAGTCGAATACGAGGGCATGTGCTAAAACCTGGACTGGACTATGGACTATGGACTGGACTATGGACTGGACTATGGACTGGACTATGGACTGGACTATGGACTGGACTATGGACTGGACTATGGACTGGACTATGGACTGGACTATGGACTGGACTATGGACTGGACTTTGGACTGGACTATGGACTGGACTATGGACTGGACTATGGACTGGACTATGGACTGGACTATGGACTGGACTATGGACTGGACTATGGACTGGACTATGGACTGGACTATGGACTGGACTATGGACTGTACTATGGACTGGACTATGGACTGGACTATGGACTGGACTATGGACTGGACTATGGACTGGACTATGGACTGGACTATGGACTGGACTATGGACTGGACTATGGACTGAACTATGGACTGGACTATGGACTGGACTATGGACTAGACTATGGACTGGACTATGGACTGGACTATGGACTGGACTATGGACTGGACTATGGACTGGACTATGGACTGGACTATGGACTGGACTATGGACTGGACTATGGACGATGGACTGGACGCATTTGTGCTAAAACCTGGACAATGGACGATTTTTATTTAGCTACAGCCGTTTCAACAAATTCAGTCTCCAAATTCAGTCTCCGGCTATCACTTTGTCACTATAGACACTATACTATCAATTTGACACA